ATTAAAATTATTAAATTATTATAAATAAAACAACATAAGAAATTGTTGCTTTATTGGGCTCAATTGGTTGTATGGCAATTAGAAAGAAGGTTTGCAAGTGGTTTCCATCCAGTTTTACTTTTTACCAAAAAGAAAAAAAAAAAAAAATCATCAATTAAGGAGTATCCAACTTTAACTTTAATGTAATTTCTTATCTGGAATATATGCTTTTCTTACATGGAGGTCCATTTCCTACACCTTTCCTCTCTCACCAAATTCGAAGGGAACAAAGACTTCATATCCTACCAATAAGGTTTACAGACCACTATCACTAATGAAAATGCGAAAAGCTGCGGGTAAATAGATTCCATATAGTTTTGTATGAGTAAATTTTAAAATTATAAACTTTATGTGTAAAAGGATTCTAATTATAAAATTTTATATAAATGTAATTAAGATTTATTTGCATATAATTTTATATATATCACTTATATAAAATTTTGATAGTTTATCTTTTTATGTTAAGATTTTTTAGATATAATTATCTTTTTTTATTTAAGAAGTCATATTAAATCTCAATTACTAATAATAAAAAATATATAGTCAAGATTTTATGTAAATAATGTATATAAGTGGATCTTTAACTTAAGAAGAAAATCACTCTAAAATTATATTATTTCAATAAATTTTCATTAAAAAAACTAAAATACCTTTTTTTAAAACATGAATTAAACTGTTTTTACTTTTTTTTTTGTGCCTTATCTATTTTTATTTTTAAAGTTAATTATCTTTTTATTTAAAAAGTTGTAATTAATCTTGGTAATTAATAATAAAAAATGAATGGTTATGATTTTATATAAAATTACTTAAATAGTTCTATAGTAATTACTTTTTATTAAAAGTAAAAAGACATGAATTTGAATCATATGGCATGAGATAAGATGGATTAAGGGATATGTGAAGGTTACTTTTCATTATGTAATTTAAGATGAAAAAGAAAAAAAAAAAAAAAGAAAGAGTTTCCTCTCTCTTTGTATTTGTA